AAAAAAAAAAAAAAAAAAAGATGCGCTACAGCCAACCGGGGGGGAACCGGCCCGGTCGACCGGCCGGTAGGACCAGTCCGGTTCCGGTTGGGGGAGGACCCCCCGGTCCTACCGGGTTTTTAGCACTGGTAGAAACGTTTTTAGTCGGATGAACTTGGGCGCTCCTGTAGCAGCGTGTACGTTTCCTAAAATCGTGGCGCGTCAACGGGCACGATTCTAGGAAGTACTGGTGTTTTAAACAGCCTGTACATCTGGAGGATTCAAATGAGCCTCCCCGACAAGTTAGGGAACCTGGACAGGGTACCGGTAGGGGAGGGTGAGGGAGGATTTTTTTTTTTTTTTTTTGTTCAGGGCTGGACCTAGTGCCATTTCATGGCATGGGACAATTTTTTTTCCTACTGGTTCTTTGGATGCCCTGTCCCGAGCCTCCGAAATTTGAGGAGAGGCTCAAACGGATTCTCGACTTGGCTGTCGCCATGTACTGGTGTTCTAGTGAACCACATCTTTGTTAGCAGATTGGATTTGTGAGTGCAACTGTGTTTGCGCTCCATTCTCATTGGTTGCGATTGGATTGTTCTTTTTTTTTTCTTTTTTTTTTCCGTTTGGTATTGCAGGGCACCGAATGTTTACTATGCAAAGGGGAAACTCTGCAATGTGGAGGCAGAGCTGAACCGCGGACGCAGGGTCAAATGCTCGGTCTGCTCAAAACCAGGAGCAGTGCTGGGCTGTTACCGTCCACGGTGCACCAAGAGCTATCATTATGAATGTGCCAAAAGTATGAATGGGACGCGGTTTGATGACGTAAGTGGCCCTCAACTACAACCAGTAAATGGATTGACAAACCCTGCATATATTGTGCCACTGTTTGTTGCTTTTAGCCATGGCCCAAGTGCTTTTTTTTTTTTTTTTTTTTTTTTTTTGGTGATCGGGCCACCCAAACATCAGCATTGCGAACAATCGCATGACATCATCCACTTTGTTGTGTCGTTGAAGTACTCTGTAATAATAGCATATGCCATATGGTGAGTTGACCTGTACCTTCTGGGAACTTTTGAGGTACACGACTGTCTCCACGCCTGGTCATTGATGCGGTATCCAGAGTGAAAGTTGCCCCAAATACAGTTATAAGTTATAACTTATAGATTATAATGCCCGGTGTTCTGTTTGGGTGGAGACAACCGCAGTTTCTTTAGAATGGTAGAGCTGTTACGATCCTGGTCATTCCCAAAGTGCAAATTCACAATGAAAAACAATGCCACGCAACTGCGAAAGAAATGAAAGCACTTGCAAAGAGCTAGAGACCAAAGAACGGAGAAAGAAGACGACGACGACGACGACGACGACGACGAAGAAAAAGAAGAAGAAGAAGAAGAAGAAGAAGATATACACCAGCAAGACCAATGACAAATCCCCCTTCTCTCTCCACCTTCCTCCTCCTCCTTCACTCCGCCAATCTTATTCTTCTTCCAATAATAATAATAATAATAACAATGAGTGGATGAACCAGAATCAATGTCCGAAGTTCCCTCTTACTGCCGACACAACAACAGGTCCACCATAGTTATGGCTTCCCTCCTTCTTCCTCCTCTCCTGTGCCTAGGCTATGGCGGACTACTGAGGGCCCTGCCCTCCTGTCCAAAGGACAACCCAAAGCAACTATGGCACTGCACTCCTGTCCAAAGGACAACCCAAAGCAGCTATGGCGCTGCACTCCTGTCCAAAGGACAACCCAAAGCAGCTATGCCGCTGCTGACTAAGCCGCCATGCCTGACTCTGCCTCGAGCTTCCTTGGTGCGGCACTACCCCAACTGGGGCCTTCCAGATGCAGCGCCCAACAAGGTGGTGAAGATGGTGTCCATCATAGCCAGGTAGGTGCCTCGCCACTCCCCTCCTTCGCCCCCTTCTTCCTCCTCCTCAAGCTGGGCTGCTCGCCATATAGCCAGACTGACCGCCCAGCTGCCCTTCACCTCCAGGCAGTGCTGTACAAGCCCAGCGCTTGGCTCAGCAACATGTTGCCAATCCTTGCACACCGCAAATGAGGAGCTGCTTGCTCCTCCGGAAGATATAGCGGCCTACTGGCCTCTTGGGCGGTGACTTCCTAGGCCGAGCGGCCTCCCAGCAACCGGTACCTCCTCCCTTTCGGAGGGAAACATCATTGCAGGCTCTGCTATCGCCCAGACAGGCCCTAGACTCAGGCTACTTGGACTGGTACCGGCCTACCTCTATCCTACCGCTACTGGGCCTCTAAAAATGCCAACTTTTTGTCTTCTTCTGCTCGGCCTCCAGTACCCGACGCTCCTACCACTACTTGAATGGTACCGGCCTACCTGCTACTTGAGTGTTTTTCCCCGCTGCTCTAAGTGCCGCGGGCCTACCCCCGCTACTTGAGTGTTTTCCCCGCTGCAACCCTCAAAGCCGCGGCCACAGGTAAGTACCGGCCCTGCGGGGCCTTTCAACCAACAAGTACCCTTGCGGGTCACACACACACACTCAGCCGACAAGCACTCAGACAAGCATGCAAACCAGCAGGCACGCACACACACACAGACTTGGAAACCACAGCAGAATGCGGGAATCTCAGCAAGGCATTCATTCCAGCGGCAAATCCCAGAAATCAGCAGTGTTCTCAGTCTGTGTTTTGGCGGGTCATTACAGAGCACGCGGAGGTTACTCTACCTAAAATGAAAACAAATGATTACTGAATGGTCACGGTATATCTTTTCTTTTTTCTTATTCCTGAAAAGATGGGCCTTATGGTTCTGACTGTGGACTACAGTGAGTCACAGCGAATCTCGCAATTTTGGACCTTTTCTCGATTTATGCGTGTCATCCCTTGCGCAGGGGGCGTGCGCATCTTCTCTGTACATTTCGTATTTTAAGGGATGTCAATGTGAATCTACAATTGTTTAGTTATATTGGGGGGATTTCCTTCCTTTTTCTGTGCTCTCCAATAAGTTAAATTGATTACTTCTTCTGCGCTCTCCCGTAAGTTTAATTGATTTATTTATTTTGTTTCTTCCAAGTTCGCAAGGATGGGTAGGTTATCGTCATCTTGCAGCACAAGGGAAGATAGCTGCACTGAGTGTTTACCCGCTGTCCGGACAAATTTGTCGATCACCGGAAAACTCGGTATGATGTTGCTTGGTCCTGTTTTTTTTTTGTTTTTTTTTTTCCCTGCTTTCTGTTTCACAAATGCAAGGAACATGAGTATGGACGAAGCACAGAAATCCAAGTTGCAAAATCACACTGAAGTCCAAGTAGTCAAATCAAGAGCAGATAGCACAATGGAACCGAGTAACGATCCATTTGAGAACGATACAGAAGAATCGTGAGTCAATGTCCAAGCCCAATCGGGCAACACCAACAGCATAACCCAATGTAGCTCTCTCTCTTGAATGGCGCCAGGCGCCCTACCTACTCTACAGCCTATCACTACAACTACAGCATGGAAGCAACCAGACAACTTGACGACCAGGGAGTGATGATGTCAAAACCAATGCCGACCTCCTCTCCACCAGGTACGTCTCTCTCTTCACCCTCACTCTCCCTTGTTATCCCACGCACCGCCCTTCACCTCCGAAGAACCACCTTCGCCCTTCACCTCCTCTGCGCCCACAGGCAGCCAGGCTATGGCCGCCAGCGCCCTGCGCCCAGGCTGCGCTCTACCGCTTAGCGCCAGCCTGCCTTCACCCAGCCTAGCGCAGCGCAGCACCCTCGCAAACGCAGCAGCGTGCCGGCCTTGCTCACAATGGCAAAGATCCCTGCCCAGTCGCCCTCTCTGCCTATATGCCAGTGTTGCGTGTGGGCAGCCTCCCTTGAGCCTGCGCCTGGGCCCCAGTACCTGTACCCAGGCCCAATGTGGTTGGGGCCCACGCAGTACAGTTGTGCCTCTTTCATCCAGGCCTGCGTCCAGATTCAGATAGTGGACCGGTTTCCCATTGGCATTTTCGGCCTCTATTTCTAGTATGCAATGTCGGCCTCACGTTTATGTGCCCAGGGCCTAACCAACTCTGAAGGGCCCTGGTCCTTCTGCATTTGCAGAGATCCGGTACTCGGTGCACTCCAACCAACTGGCGTGCGGCAACTCTATGGACCCCACTTCGTGAAATGTTTGAACAGAGGGCTCTCGTTGATTTGCTGGCCCGCCTTAACTTAGGGTGGGCACGATGCTTGCTGGGGGCCTTGGCCTAGAACATGTACACCACGGCAAGGCCCCATTTGAGGGCTCAATCCTCACACAAAAAAAAGAGGAGGAGAAGTCCAGTATTCCATACACTTGGAAGTTCAAGCCACAGGTACATCAAATTTACTGTCAGAACAGGTAGATCAAATTTACTGTGACAGGTTGCATAAGGCCTCAGGATTGAGAAGTGGAATGTACCCCTTTCTAAAAAACCTCTCTCATTATTCTTACTTCTATTTAAATATAAAAGTAATCAGAGATTTTAATTTTTAATATTTTACTATCAGCTTAATTCTGTTGAAATAAATACATAAATTAAAAATTCATAGCGCACTTAGACGTAAGGTATTACCTACAAAAAGTAGATGCATCCATGCTAGAGAGCACCGTATCTCCTATTCTAATCCCATGAGGGTAGAATATATATGTTTTTTCTCCATCTTCGCAATTCACTGTTTATATATGTTTATATATGTTCATATATGTTTATATATGTTTATGTATGTTTATATATGGGAATTTCTATTAGGATCATATTCGATACTTTTGATTGTGCCATGAATTGCAATTTGATTTTCCCTTTGAAAATCGTCTCTATCAACTCTCTAACCATCAAAGCAGTTATCAAAATGACATGTATTATAAATTAATTTGTTATTAATTCAATTCTCTTTTTTTTTTTCTGAACATCATTGATATTAAATTATCAATATTATAATAATATAAACATATAAACAATATTAAGATCATAATATAATATAATAATAATATAATAGGTCATAGTTCAGTAAAGATTTTGAGTGGCTTTGCTTGGACTATGTTGTCTATGGGAGGTATCATGTATTTAGCTCACCTTGCACCTTTTCTCATTGTTTTCGCATTAACTGTGTTAGAGTTAGGTGTTGCTGTATTACAAGCTTACAAGCTTATGTTTTACCATTCTGTTTTTTTTTTTATGGCCAGTTACTGGCAGTTAGAGAGTTGGTCGTTGCTGGGTTTTTTTGCTCTTGTTCTCAGGATTGTCCTTCGTTTTTTTTGTCTTTTTTTTTGGTTAAAAGAAAAAGGATTGTCCTTTTTGTTGACTTGTGTTTTAAGTTTTAACCTTGTAATCATCAATTTTGAATTTTTTTTAATTTGGTGGATATGATTGTCTACTTCTTTGGACGTTACAGGAAAATTATGTGATGCTCTGCCCTGATCACATGAAATCTAGCTTCCCGTGGGAATCCAAAAAGAAGAAAAAGGAACCATCGACTCCAAAAGGGAAGGGAAAAAATGCTCGAGACATTGACAGTGAGCGGCCAAAGAAGGTGCAAAGCCATGGCAAGAATGGAAATGCCGCTGACAGAGTGAACAATTCAGGAGCAGCAGAGCGGCTGACAGTGTATGTGTTTCTCCACTCTCTTGTTTTTATTCCGTCATGACTATTTCATCTGCCTGCATTACCCATGTTCTCTCTTCAGCCTGGGCACTTGCTCTCTACTTGTGAGTGATATCTGAATGCTTGCTTTCCGTGTACATGCAGTTGAAGAGCGTTGTTCAGAAAAGAAACACACAGAGAGAGGGAGGGGGAGAGGAGGGAGAGAGACTCTTTCTCTCTCTCTCTCTATCTCGCTGTTTGTGTGTGTGTGTGTGTGTGTGTGTGTGTGTGTGTGTGTGTGTGTGTGTGTGTGTGTGTGTG